ATATATATATATATATATATATATATATATAAATTATGATAGTTATTAGTGATATGTGAATTAGCGATTAACATTTATGTTTAGTTTATTTTTTTTATGTAAATATACTTTTTATTATATGTTTAAAATTTATAACACCAATATTTTGTATATTTATTCAATAAATTTTAGTTTTGAAAATTGTTCACCCTTCACTAAACATTTTTTGAATCCATTATTAGTGTATCTTTCACATAGTGAGAGTGTTGAGAGTCAAATATTTTTTGTCTTGTGTCTGTCGTATGCATGTTCTCTTAAGTTATTCTATGAGCCTTCGGATGACATGTTTTTCGTGACACCACATGTATGTAGAACTAGTTCAGTAAGTCATCTTGCATTTGACACTTGCTTTATGATTGTATTGATAAATATATATGTTGTTATTGTTAATTATAAATATAAATAAAATGTATTTCACTCCTTTTTTTTTTTTTGTAAGATCATCATGTTGACATTGATGATAAGGCTTAGTCTTGTATATGTTTTGTTGAATAATACTTTGATAGGATGTGATATTGGAGTTACTAAGGGTTATTTTTATGTTGTTTTGTTGGATTTATTTTCTTTATTTTTAGGAACTATTTGTTTTATCTAATGGTTTGTATTGGCAGAGCCACATTATCACATTTTATTATTAGTTAATCTCTACAATCCGTTATTTATGTTAAGTACCTTTTGAAAACTTCATATTTAGTATGTAAAGTGAATGTGACTCCTCTACCTTAGATGCATTTCACTTGAAAATATTTTACTATTTTAAATGGAGTGTTTTTATTTTGAAAGCCTTTTGTTGTTTATTATATGTAAGCTATAAGACTAGAAGGTGTCACATTTTTGTTTCTAAAATTTAAAATAATATTATTTTAGTCTCTCAAATTTAAAATTTGTGATTTTAATCTCTAAAATGTTAAATTATTCCCTCTCAATTTGTCACTATCATTTATAATATTAGTGATTAAATTTTTTTTTGAAATTATAAATACAAAAAAATAAATTTTAAACATTTGAAGGATAAAATATACACTAAATTAGATGATAACATAGATAATAAATAATTATTTTTTATTTATTGAAATAACAATGACGATAACAAAATTTGAACTTAAAATTGTGTATTTAACTTCAACTCTTATATCAACCCTAATTGTTCAAATAATAAATATCTATTCATTATAAATGTCTCAACTTTTGATATTTATTTTTATGTATTTTTTTATTTAAAATATGTTTAAGTAGCATTCGACTTTGTAAAAAAATGGCATTTGACTTGGTTTTTTCTCGCTGGGAGAAGTACAGCCAAATACAATTTCTGAAAAATTATTAATAAAAAAGTAATTTAATTTTAATACAGAGTCAATTTGATTCTTTACAATATTAATCAATTAAAAATAGTTATATATATATATAAATTTTAAAATAATAAAATAAAAAATCAACGATCTTGCCGTATATAAAGAACTCATAATTAGACTATAGATATGATAAAAACATCGTTGTATCAAACAATTAAAAATAATTTTAGAGATCAGATCAAAAGACTTTAACAATATTAATGTATTCTAATTAAATCCATTATTTTTTTTTTATAAAAAAAGAAATCAAGTGATTTTTAAAATAAAAAATTAGGTGAAGGAGAATTTAGAAGGAATATTTTTTTTTAGATTTTATTTGGTCTCTCATTTCTCTTCTTGCTCCCTTCATAAGGACCAAACCCAATAAGATTATAGTATAAAAGGTTAAATATATTTTTGTCTGCCAAAAATTGTTTTTATTTGGTTTTAATCTTTCAAAAAAAATTTCTTTAATTTTAGTCATCAAAATTTATATAATATTTATTTTTAGTTTTTTTAAATATCGTTAACTTTTGATATTAAAGTAAGTTATCTTTTAATGATATAAAACTTTTTTAATTTAAAATATTAATTATTTTAAGATTAAGTTAAGTTTTAGGGTAAAAACTAATTTTATACTTAAAGTTTTTCATTATTTTCTCTTAAAATTTTAAATATAAAATTAGTTTTTACCCCAAAAATTAACATAATATTTTAAATTAAAAAAATTTCATGTTAATCTAACTAATGATGATTTATGTGATGAGATAACCTATTTTAACTATAAAAGTTAACAATATTTAAAAAATAATTAAAAATAGATATTATATAAATATGGAGGACTAAAATTAAGATTTTTTTTAAAAAGACTAAAACTAAATAGAAACAATTTTTGGAGGATAAAAAACATATTTAACCCTAATACAACAATGTTTGGTGATATAAAAGGATGTTTTCTATCGCATTTATTTAAAACATTTATTACATCATCAGATGGAGTACTCACTTGATATTTAGAATGATTTTTGCATGTACATTTCTTTTCTTTCATAACCCAAAAGACGAGCAATGTAGGAGAGGGAGGAAAAAAATCACTATTGTATCCTCATACAGGTACATGAAGTTATAAACTTTTCAATTAAATTAAAAAATAGAAACTGTCAAACAATTTGTGTTCTAATTTTTTGTTTTTAAACAGGTTCAATAGCCAATAGTTAGTTCGGGTATTCCACGTGATCTTCCAAAATGAATTCTTTGAACGTTTAAAAGACTAAAGCAAAAGAATCATAACATGTAAGTATGTAACTCATGCAGTTGAAAATTAAAGTTGGCAAAATAGGTGTTGAAATTGCAATTGCATGCATGCTTTCTTTTTTCCTTGTTACCCACTTTGTGAGCAGAGTGTGTTCGACAAAACGTTTTGTTTGACCACATGAGGCAAAAGTTCTTCTACCTTCCACAAAAGAAAATGAAGGTTATCATTTGAAGCTGCATTTCCATTCGCTATAATTTTTTGTTGATACCATCATCATCATCATCATCATCATCATCTTCATCTTTCTTATCCTTCTCCTTCTCCTTCTTTTCATCGTCATTATTGTTATTATTATATTCGTTGTCATTATGGTTGTCTTTGTTATTATGGTCGTTGTTGTCACAGTCATTAGATTTATTATGTTCACGGCTAATATCTCCACTCTGAGGAGGAGTCACTTTTGTAGATAGTGGTTCATCCACTTCTACTTTCTTCCTTGCTAAAAACTCAATGGCTGTGACTACATCACTGATCAAAGGTCGGGTATCAGCTTCCTCTTGGAGACACATTGCTGCTACTGCTAGTGCTTGGTATAGACCCTTTACCGGGTAGTTCTCTTCTAGCACTGGATCTGCCATTTGTACAAATTTCCTTCTATCTCTTAGAAGTGGTTGTGCCTGAAAATAAGAACAATAACCCTCATTACTTCATGTCAATTTTATTTTGGATAGGTGTTTTTTTTATTCAGAATTAGAGTTTTATGTCAACTAAACGTGTTAACAAATGACAAAATCCTTTATTTCGTATATTAATGAAGTGAAACTCTAATTATGATCATAGAACAAGACTAACTGTCCATATGATCCTGTATTTATGTTTTGTCTTTTTTCTTTCAAAGATTTTTCCACGTTAATGAAGTCAGCCAATCAGAACCGTTGGACAAAGATGAAAGATTCATTCTTTTTATCTCAGTAAGTTCAATTTAAAATATACATTTTAAAATGTAAACTGCCTGATCTTAATCCAATAGTCTAAATTCATGAGAATGTGTGAATGCAGGAAAACCATTTCACTATATATGTAGCATGGGAGAGAAAAGATAAATTGGAAAGAAATAGAAAAATTGATGAATGTAATTGGAGGTGGTGTAATAAAAAAAGGTGGAGAAATGTAAAATGGGTGTGGGAATTGAGGTGTGTTGATTTTTTTACATCTAATGAAAAAGTATCTTTTGTTTCCTTTCTTCTTTATGCCTCAAATGATTTTACCTTTTACAAAAAGGTGAGAAAGGAGTATAATAAAAGTGATGTAAAACATTTTTCACTCTAGAAAAATGCTATGATTTTTGGTACACAAGAAAGGTTTGAAGAGTGAACACATACCCAAATGACTAAATTTTGCTCTTGTGATGGTTTTGAATAGTCAATTACTCTTCTTCCTGTGATCATCTCCAAAAACACCACTCCAAAGCTGTACACATCTGATTTTGTAGTCAATTGCCCTGTTGATGCATACTCAGGAGCACAATAGCCATATGTTCCCATCACTCTGGTGGATACATGTGTTCTATCTCCTGTTGGACCAAGCTTTGCAAGTCCAAAATCAGAGAGCTTTGGATTGAAGTTTTCATCTAAAAGTATGTTTGATGCCTTGAAATCGCGGTATATAACTGGAGGGTCTGCTTCTTCATGCAAGTATTCAAGCCCTTTTGCTGCACCTTCTGCAATTTTCATTCTGGTTTGCCAGTCCAAAGGCTTTGTATCTGGAGTTAATTCTGAAAATCATTTTGTTCTTGGTCAGATAAAGTTTAGATTCTAACTAGTAAATAATGATACAGGAAATGGTGCAAAAACCTTGCCACTTTTTTAATTCAATTTTAGCATTGTCTATACAAATCTTTGAAAACAAGAGACATTGTGAAAATAAGGTGATGTTTTTTAAGGACAAAACTTATATGCGGTACAATAAGTGTTATCAATATTGTTCTATAATTTGAATTATAGTTTTAGTTCAGTAACATGTGTAATAAAAGAATTTCATTAAATATCAACGCATATTATCAATATAAAATTGTAATTCTGATCGGTGCACAATACTAATAGTACTTATGATATTGGATCCAAGTTTTGTCCTTTTGTAATTACTCAAATCAAATAGACAATTAATCATAATGATGATCCACTGTGTTCATATGGTCATATTGCTCCCTACTCTTAGTTTAATAATCATTTCATTTATTCAAATTGGATGCTTAAGTTGGTTTTCATTCAGGATTTTATCTGTTATGCATTGAAGGACAAGGACAGTGTGTGGGAAGCATTTACTTACCAAGTAAGTGATCTTCTAAAGAACCATTGGCCATGTATTCATATACCAAAATTCTTTGTTCACCTTCAGCACAATACCCTACCAAGTTGACAAGGTTAGGGTGGTGCAAAAGACTCAAAATCAAAACCTCTACAAGAAATTCCCTGTTTCCTTGAAATCCATTCCTGTCAAGTTGCTTCACAGCAACAACCTGCACGTGACACAACACTTAGAAGGTTATTACAACTTGAATAGGCTACTTCCTTTTAATATAAAATTCATAAGAGAGAAGTTGAAGTAATACTTGATTTGTTGCTTTAAGGTGTCCTTTGTAAACCCTCCCAAAACCTCCTTCACCAATCATATTGGAAGGGTGAAAATTTTGTGTTGCAACACATAGCTCACGGTATGAAAAAACCTTAGAGGTAATGTTGCCTTTCCCAAACTTTGCTATCTCTTCTGTTATGAATCTTTTATTTTCACCATCTGCAACATAAATTTGTTCAAGTTTTTAGTACCGGTATTTGCACCCTCAACTTGGTATCTATTATCCACACTCTATAGCTTACAAAGGAGACATCTATAATTCATAGAAAGTAGATTCTAAAGGCCTTTTGCATCATAAATTATTAGATAGTCGTAAAATACATGACCCCTAACTAGTCTCTACATGATATGTAATCAAGTTTTATTATATTTTTCTCGTAAAATGAAAACTTAAATACATGTTACGTGATGATTGCTTGAAACCATGAATGCTTGTTGGTCTTGGACTATCTAATTTTTTCTCCTTTTGCACGCCCTTCTCATTTCATACAAGTGGTTATAAGACTTGATAAAGTTTACAAAACCTATGTACCATCTATGATATTGAAACCAATTGTGTTTGTTTTAACATTGCATATATTTCCATTTTAGACCTCAATATTTAGAGAATTTGAATAGTAGAACCAGCAGCACATGATTATAGAAAAAACATCATTAAGCTCAAGAGAGGATACATTTAAATTGCAGAATCGTTTGGCCTATAAAATCATACAATTTTCTATGATGAGAAACCTGCAATTCAGAACCCCACATTCCAAAATAGGAGACATAAAACTTGAAAGTTACCTGTTTTAAAAGAAATGTTGGCAAATGAGGCTAGATTTTTCTCTTCTCGGTATTCCTTAATGCTTTTCTTCAATGACTTTCTATTGAGCTTCTGTTGTGATGTACAACAAGGAAAACAACTCATTTTGTTTTCCCTCAATCAAAATTTCAAACCTTTTTGCATTGGCTTTCCAAATCCTTCTCTCAGCATGCAAATGTCACCCTATAATCCAATGCTCCACAAACCTTACACACTGCCCCACAACAAGTGCCTTGAAATTTCCATCAATTGTTCATTATTGAAACCTTGTTCCTGCAAAATACCACGTTGACGATCCTCTAGATTCTGAGAATCTATCTCGTCCCTCGTGATTGATTTTGCTTCCTCTTTCTTCAAGACCTGAGGCCTTGGTTTGGATATGAAGACTTGGTTAAATTTGCTTATGCCAGAAATAACCAAACTGAGTCATTCTTATTTAACTATGGCTCTTGTTACCTAAAATCTGCCCGTTACAACAATGTAGGATTTGATGCATGCCTTCTCTCACGTGATTCCACCTAATAGAGGATGTCTCATTTATGAATCCAACTAAGCAAAAATAATGCTAACTTTCTTATATGGTTGAACATATGTACAATTTGTCCTTTCCATCTACCTCAGTTGAATATATAATGATGACTTATTATAGTGGAACCTAAAAATAGACCCATTTTTAAAATTGAAATCATACAGTAAAAATACAACTTTTCCAATATGTTTCGAATAACATAAATACTTATAGATTTAATTATATTTTTTCCTATAATGTTATAAACTTTACCTGTTAGTTTTTATAATTAAAAAATTTTCATTTTAATCTTTAAACATACAACTTTTTTCCCCCTTTAGTTTTTATAGTCACATAAGTTTTCCCTTTTAGTTCATGTAATTGTATAAGCCTTCTCTTCTGATTCCTATAAAAATATACAATCAAGATTTAAAGAACAAAAATGATATATATAAAGACTAAAAAAAATTAAAATTTAACTATAGAGATTAAATGGTAAAATTTATCAAATTATAGTGACTAAAAGAATAATTAAACCTTATTATAAATTATGATGCACTATTTTGAAATTTTTTATGTGAATGAAACGTGTCCTTTAAGTGTAGAATAGAGTTTAATTGATATATGTTATTATAATTTAAATTTTCATAGTTTATAGTTAAATCCATTATCAAACTTGTCGGAATTATTAGCCGTAAAAAGAAGTTGCATGCAACCAATTTAACCGAATTGTTAAGTCGAATTTACTGGGTCAACTTTTGTTCCTTACATGACTGTTTTGAATTCATTGTCAAAACCTCGTAGACTTCAAACAAAATCTAAAACGGTATATTAACACCCCATCGTAAAAAATATCTAGAAGGGTAAGTTTGATCTTTGATGAAGTGGAAAAATTAGATAAGAAAAATTGAGGAGCTAAAAATTCACCTTATTACACCCTCTAAACGCCTCTTAGCCTGAATTTTAATACATTAACAAACACATCACCATTTTAAATATACCATAATTATGTAACATAAATACAACCTAATTATTTAATTATTTAATATAAAATCAATATATGTCAATTATTAATATAATCTACTTACATATATATATATATAAATATTGGGATACCATCAAAGTCTCATTCTTAGAACATAAGGATGAACATGAATTTATATATACACATAAGTCTCTATTAATAAGAAACATTTTGGGTGATGTCTAAAAACAAAACCATGAGAACGTAGATTCAAATTTAAGTGGATAATATCATACCAACATGAAGATGCGTGTGTAAATCCCGAGTGCTCAACAAGTTATATCAGAGTCAATGATTGATCAGACAACCGATTAGGTGAGTATGATGATTGGTAGGTTAATTTAGGTATATTATCCCTTATATTGAAAGTCTTCCTAACATGGAAGGGTATGAGGCGTGTTCCGCTATCATGAGTTAAATGATGGAGTGGTGGTGAAAGTACTTAAAGTGTGACTGAGTTCTATGGACCGCCATTGGATATATTCGTGGACTGATGTATAGCTTCCATTGCAAAAGGGAAGGGGGGTGAACTACGGTCCTTTGTTTGAAATGAGGATTATTGGGATATAATCAAAGTCCTACATTCTTAGAACATAATGATGAACATGAGTTTATACACACAAAAGTCTTTATTGGTAACAAGACTTTTGAGTGATGTTTAAAAGCAAAATCATGAAGGCTTAGGTCTAAAATAGACAATATCTTACTAATGTGGAAATACTGCGAGTGAGATAACCCTCGGTGCACAACAACATAAAAACATGAAAAATTTTCTCCTAAACAAGGTTCCTAATTCTAGCATGCTAGGGGTGGCAAATGAATGGATCATATAATTTTTTTAAGTGGATCATAATGGATTGGATAAAAATAATCTATTAATCCATTTAAATCCATTAAAAATTCACAAAAAAAATCTAATTCATCCATTAACAATTTTTTCATAGATGGATATCTAATTCATCCATAAAAGTAATATTTTGAAAATTAAATAATTTTTAAAATTTTGAAATATTTTATCTTTTTCTCTTTTCTTTATATGTCATTACATTTTTATATAATCTTTTAAAAATTACAAGACATTAGTTTTAATGTTTTCAATCCAATAAACATCTCATATTGTTATTCAATGGATTGTGAAAAAGCAGTGGATGAATCACCAGCCATTCATAAAACTAATTGAATGAAATAAATTTGATCCATTATTTATTTTTATTGTAATGGATGGATTGGATGGATTAGTTGTGGATGAATCAAATGGATGATGGATGTCACCCTATGACATGCATGCTCTAGGATCTAGGATGGAGCAATCTTGGTCATTAAATTACCACATGCTCCAAATCATGATTGAGACAGGAGATACTAAGATTGTGTTTGAATAGATAGTAGTGTTGGAGTTATTTTATGGTATTTGTCTGAAGGAATATTTTATAAAGATTGTTTTTATACACAACTCCACAATGATGAGATATTGTTTATTTTGAGCCTAAACCCTCATGGTTTTGCTTTATAAGATTATTACATAAGTAACTTCACAATGATGAGATATTGTCCGCTTTGGACCTAAGTCCTCACGATTTTGTTTTTGGTCATCATTCAAAAGACCTATCTAACATTGGAGTATGAGTGTGTTTTATAAGGTGCTATTTTTTCTCTTAATTTATCGATGTGTAACTTGTTTGTATCCCAAGAAGTAGTGTGTAGAATTCATTTGGTAGAAAAGATATATAAAGATACTTAATGAGTTCTGCTACTAGAGGATTTTTTTTTTATGTTGATAAGACAATGCATTCATTTAGTAGGAATTTATAGAATTATAAAAAATAGATACATGTAATTTCAATTATTATCCAATTTTACGTGAAGGATTTAAGATTTGCTCTTTTCAGCTGTCAAACTCTTAAATGATATATTTTGTACACATGCACATAACAGATATAAACAAACAATGGCATGTTGCCATACCCTGTATGGTGCAATTTTGTCTTTGGCCCAGGTGGGTAATTGTTTTATTCTAGGCTTAGAACAGGTTTTACCTCTTGATCTCGCTTTCGTTTAACACCAACCTGTGACACAATGATTGCACCAACAATCTCTCCATAGTCATTAGTCTGGTAAGCCTAAAACTAAAATACAACATTCTTGAGGCAGTTGGATGATGCAAAAATGCACAACACCACTTCTTAACTCAAAATCTTAGGTATTAGGCTTATGGGTACTTCTCACTTGTATATTACTTAACACACTCATTCTATTTAACGTGAGACTTCTCATTCATACTTATAACCCAATAACTAATAGTTTCATCACCATCACAATTTAACTTTTAGTCTGATGATACGCTCAGGTGTAGGGATCTTTATGTTTATACTTGCCAATCAAGATGAATCCAATGTCCAATGTTAGAAATGGAAGGATTCAATTAGTATTTTCAATAGATAAATCCATTGTCCACAGAAGATATGGTTGCAGCTGCATTACATTACAGGTAGCATTCTAGTACAAATTCTCTTCTTTTGAAAAATATTGAATGTAAAGGGGCTTACCTTTTCACCCAAGGTTGGTCCTCCAAAGTACATCATTTATATCCTAGACTTGATTTATGTTAGATAAAATCAAGTACTTGACAGTTTTAAATTTAGTCATCAGCTGCAACTGTTTCAGCTCCAGTGGATATAGAATTTAATTAGAAATGAAGAAACAAGGTACAAAATGATTGTGGTTGGTTAATTGGATGAAACAACTCAGAATAACTAGGAACTGGAGATGCTCAAAGGGAAATGAGAGTTAAAGCAAATCAGAAAGCGAGCTTGAAGCAGATATTTATATCCAAAGGAGTTGAATATGAGAGCAGCACTCATCTAAACCAGAAAAAGAGGCACCAAAGTTATCGACATGCAATGCACCTTCTGAAATATTTTTTTAAAAAAACAAAGTTTATAAGTTTATAAAATGAAAACATTCTGCCTACTTAAATTTACAGTAGAAGACATTATAATATCAACAACAGATAAAAAATGAATTATAGAAGCATTACTTCAAGCAGGACAAACCCAATCAGAAATCATTATCTTATAAATTTTTCGGCTTAATAAAAGATAAAACCAAATGAGGACAAGAAGATCATACATAAACATTAACTTACCCCCATTCTGCCAACGTACAAAAGGGCATAGTTAAACTTCAAAATAGTGAAATATGTAATTTGGTATGATGACTATCAACCACAAAGCTTGTAACATATATAATCCATGGTAAGCCTGAGGCTTAGAACAATAACTAAAAAATCTTGAGCTAGAAATGGATTTAATTTAAAATTACTTTCAAAAGCATGGTTGGAATTTAGTAGTCTAATGCAGCCAAGAAAATTAGTAAATTTTTTTTTTTAATCAGTACCAAACAAGTCTGCACATAATTTTGAATTTGCTTCTGAAAAAAAAAAGATGAAACATAAGTTTCAAAGTGATCTAGAGAATATCAATGAATCGATATAAATTCAAATATCTCACTTTGATATAACTATTGCTAATTTCCTGGTAAAAATAAAGGCAGCTACCATAGGTTGTACAAAAGAAGGGGACCATTACATGAAAATGGGCAGCAACACATTGCAAGTTAGCAATCTACTATTATATACTACTACTTAGATTAGGAACTATGTTCTGTAGTGGCAAAAAAGGATTCTCGGTCTCAATTTACAAAGCAAGGAGCATTATGGCCATGCTTTGACTCCAATATTTTGAACTTTATGGCCAAATTTTGCTGCTTTAAGCTTAGCAATCACTCTTTCAACCTTCCCAATCCGGCTTTCAAGATTAGAAGCTCTGTCTATGACACAAAGGGTGGCATCTTCCCCTTCAATGTCACTAACACCATTTCCATCACAAAATGAATTCTGGATTATGACTCCATTCCCATCATCCTTGTCAATTCTTGCTCCTTCAACACTTGATGGAAAAACAACATATTGAGGACTGGACAAAGCCCTTCCCCTTCCAACTTCTTCGGCATCAAAACATCTATCTTCGCTAGAACCACTGGATAAATCAATAACTGACAACTTTCCATCTTCATCAAAATCCTTGGCTTGTTCTCTCTTAATCTGGGAACTAAAACCAGGTGGTGGACCATAGGATCCTTCACCTTCTTTCTTCCCAGATGATAATGGTACGAAATATTTTGAGCTACTTACAACATGATAGTCATGCATGTCTTCTTCCTTAACTGGATATGATTGCTTCAACCAGCGATAGTACCTAGAAGTAACATTTGGCTGGTGGCATGCAGATAATGCAATGTACAAGTTTGAATCCATCACAGGCTGACAATAACTTATCCAAGGATTCTCATTGTAATGTGATAGCATACCAGGAATGTCCTGATCCATGCCAAATTGCATAGCAACCCGGTTTGGACAGTACTGTTCTAAACACTTCATGCCAACCAACTCTGAGACCCTCAAGCAGCGACCAAAGGCTTCTAATTCATCAGAAAAGTTGGGATTGTTGCATACCCACATGTCTTCTTCATTAGAAAGAGTAAGAGGTGGAGAATTCACATAAGGGCGCCACACAAAGTCATTTCCACCTCTTAAAATGTCGAAAGTGAACTTCAAGAACACTTTCACTTTGTGCCATTTAGCCATCATGGGTTGACCTTGCTCAATCACACTAGGAAGTGGCTGCAGTGCTGGAAACCTCTCCAAGGCCCAAACTTGGACCAACTGAAAAGGGGCCCACAGTGTAACCTCCAACTGCACTGTTGTCACAGTCCTGATTATGTTATTCAGCAAACTCAAATCCCTGTAAATGCTGGCTAAAACAGCAGGTGCAAGAGCTAATTTAATCCCTTTAGCTAAATGTATGGCAATAGGAAAAACACTTTTCAAAATGGTTTGGTATGATCTAGCAGGGAAAACAAACCTTGACAACCACAAAGTTAAAAACCCCTCATGCTCTACTTTGCTCTCATTGTTCATGAAATGCTTCATCCATGGCGTATGATCTGCCCTTTTGGCCTTAGATTTGAAAAACCTTCTAAACACTGAAGTCAGTTCTTGTTCCACTTCCTTTTCCTCATCACTCAAAAGAGGGCTAAAAATAGAAGCTCCCATGACAGAATAGCCCCAACAAACCTTCATATCCTCCAATGTGATAGTTGCTTCTCCCCATGGAAACACAAAGGTGTTGGTCTTTGAGCACCACCTGTTGGGAACAAAAGCACTAGTCTTCTTTATGCAATGATGAGAAAACAAACCACAAGCTAAACACTATAAAAGTGATAAAAAAAAAATAATACAAATTAATTTAACGTGTTTCAGACTCTAGTGGCTACATCTCAATAAATATTCATTAGATGTGATTCAAATCCTAATGCCGAGAACATCTCACATAACCCCTTTCTCTCTCATTCAGGTTGTCATTCATCTTTTGTCAGCAGTCTTTATATATGTTGACGTTGCATTCTAATCTTAAAAAGAGAAACAAATATCTAACCCAGATACAATATTTTAATTCTAATTGTTTCTAAACAACACTGTAAACAATATTTCAGTCTAATCATTTCTAAACAACATTCTAAACAATATTTCAGATATTCGAAATTGAAAAACAGTTATCCCAACATTACCTTTGTGCAAGCTCAAGAATCAGCTCATCATTCCTGCGGATTTGAAAAGTGGAAGCTTGGATTGCTTGGTGAATGCCAGCTTTTATCCACACATGTTCGTGCTTGTGCTGCATTTGTTGGACCCATGTTTTCCACTCTTCGTGAGGGTAGTGCCATCCGTTGTATCTGACTTCTAGTGGAAGCTTAGCGTGGTTGGAAGTGATGGTGGCTGCTCTTCCGGAAAAGAAGGTGGAATGAGGAAGGTTTAGCGACTCTTCCATGCACGGTTGGATGAAATATGCGGTTCTGTGAAGTGGGTTTTCGCCGGAGAGTGGAGAAACCATGAGTTCTTGTTTCACTTGGATGATGGACTCTTGTGATGGCTCCATTGTGGTGAACAGAAGCAAGTGAAGAGACGCCTTTTTTACAACAATAAATTAAAAAAATTAAAAATATATAAACTAAATTAAAAAAAAAAAATTAATCACCAAAATAGGTGATTTTGGCCACGTGACATAAAAAAAGCATGGGAAAGGCGTTTTGCATGGCGCCTCCCCCATGCGTTTTGTGTTGTTGACGTGGCGCCTTGTGCAACAATGAAGAAAATTCCTTCCCCCATGGTCCATCTTTACATCAACGGAAAACTCCTCTCCCTCATGCGCCTTCTTCAACCATATCCCTACCCATTACATTTTAAAAAATTCCAACGCGAGGTCTGGACTATTTTAAAATTGAAATGCGAGGTGGTGGAGTATTTACTAGAACAATACACATGAGTGTGCAAAATACCCCACCACCTCGTGTTTCAATTTTAAAATGGCCTACACCTCGCGTTTGAATTTTTTAAAATGCAATGAGTAGGGATATGGTTGAAGAAGGCGTATGGAAGGGAGGAGTTTTCTGTTGATGTGAAGATGGAGCATGAGAAGAGAGATTTTCTTTGTTATTGCACAAGGCGCCACGTCAGCAACACAAAACGCATGGGAGGGAAACGTGATCCGCAAAACGCCCTCCCCTGCGTTTTTTATGCCCGAGTTTTTTATGCCATGTCACTTTTCACGTGACCAAAATCACCTGGTAATTAATTTTTTTTATAAAATTTATTTTGTTTATTTTTAATTTTTTTTAATTTATTGTTTTCAAAAAGCAGTGAAGAGACGGTGAGTGTCACAGTGAATGCATGCAGCAGAAATGAGTTTGCAGAATAACGTCAAACGTTTTTCTTTGACTGAGGCTCGCAGATACTCTTGAAAGTAAATGAACACGCCAGTTTTGTTTTAACTTAAAATTTACTTGCAATTCTAAAATATAGGTAGTTATTGTATTTTAATTAGAATTAAAATTTTATTTTTATATTATACACTTTCATTTAATATAAATTTTATTAATATATATATATATATATATTTATATTTATATTTATTGAGCTAAAAATTTTAATTTTAATTAAAAAATAATATCAACTACAATATAAAAAATTATATATAAGTTTTATTCAAAAATATTATATTCATTCTAGTCCTAATTTACTCAAATTTAAAAATATTTAATTTACTTGATATCAGTGTGTATACTTTAAATTATTTTTATACTATTTTTTTATAATTAATATTTATATATTTTTTAATCATATTTATGTTGCTTTTAACTAATTAAAGCGGAAGAATTTATAATTAATATATTTTATTTGAAATATATTTATAATCATAAAAATATAATTCGTGTAATTCTCAAAAACTCACGAATTTTTGATTCAATTATCTACCATTGTCCATTAGTAACAAAGTTGTTGAGAATATGCCTAAATATCTTTAGAAGAATAAATTAGTTTTTGATAAGAATATTTTATTTTTATTTTAATATTTAGATTTAATTTGTTTTGATTATTTTAAGATTTGTTTCCTTGTTTTTAGAATAGGATAATATCAATATTTGATTTTGTATAACAAATTTTCTCAATAAATAAAGACTTATGAATAAAATGAGATTATGCTCCTCTAATAAAAATAACTCTTATAAAATATTCTCTCAGACAAATACTATAAAATAACTCCATCATTAGTATCAGAGCTAAGGTTTTGATGGAAGGAGAAACAAACTTTTCACAAATTTCCCCACTTATTTTTGATGGAGAAAGTTACGATCTTTCGGCGGCGAGAATGGAAGCATACCTAGAAGCTTTAGATCTTTGGGAAGCCGTAGAAGAAGATTATGATGTTTCCGCGTTGCTAGACAATCCTACCATAGCCCAAATAAAAATTCACAAGGAAAAAAAAATCAAGAAGGCAAAGTTAAAAAGTTATTGTCTCTTTGCCCGTGTTTCACAAAATGTTTTCACTAGGATTATGACTCTCAAGTCGGCAAAAATAATTTGGAATTATCTAAAGGAAGAATATGCTGGAGATGAAAGGGTTCGCAACATGCAAGTATTAAATTTAATGAGAGAATTTAAAATACAAAGAATGAAGGAGACTGAGACAATCAAACAATACTTTGACAAATTGTTTGACATTGCTAATAAGGTAAGATTACTAGGAACACAATTTCTTGATTCTAGAATTGTTGAAAAAATTCTAGTAACTATACCTAAAAGATATGAAGCTTCAATAGCGGCCTTGGAGAACACAAAGGATTTGAGTAAGATTACTTTGGCAGAGGTGTTACATGCATTGCAAGCATTAGAACAAGGGAGGCTTATGAGAGAAGACGGATCTATGGTGGGTGTATATTTAGCCTAATGAAAGAACAACAATGGTGCCAAAAATAAGAAGAAGGAATTGTTCCAAGAGAACAGTCAAAATAATATAGCACTAAAATTTTTCCACCATGCCCTTATTGCAAAAAGACTAATTATCCACAACAGAGATGTTGGTGAAGACCTGATTCAAAATGTGACAAGTGCGGACAATTAAGACACTTAAAACATGTATGCAAATTTCATGAGCAATAAGAAGAAGCCAATATTATTGAAAATCAACAAGATGAGGAAGAAGAACAATTACTTTCAATGTCATGCTTTATGACCAAAAAACCTTCAAAAGCTTGGATTATTGATAGTGGTTGTACAAACCATATGACTTATGATCGAGAACTCTTCAAAGAACTCAAAAAAACTAATATCTCTAAAGTCCAAATAGGGAATGGAGCACACCTTACAGTAAAAGGCAAAGGAACATTGGTTATTAAAAGTCATTCAGGTTTGAAATTAATATCCGATGTTTTATACGTTCCTGATATTAATCAAAATTTGTTGAGTGTTGCTCAGTTATTAGAAAAAGGCTATAAAGTGATATTTGAAGATAAAAATTGTGTGATTAAAGATATATACATGTTTACAGTGGAATTCGTTTTATGGATTCTTTTTACTCGGACTAGCACCAAAAACAGTTTCAATTTAGGTATTTGATTTAATTCGATTTAAAGACAAAGAACGTAGAAGGAAGAGTTAATAATTACTGGTTTCTAGATATTCATAAATGATTATCAAAAAATAGTGTTCATGAGCATAGATGCTTAATATAAACAGAATGAACAACATATATACTTCCTATGCAAATCATGGTTCATAATATCCAAGCATTACAACATTGTCAGAATTTACGTAATTGGAAACTAAGTGATTATAAGAAATAAGAAGACTAAACTAATCCTAATCTAAAAAGGAAAAAGAAAAGTGGTCAAGAAGCAACCATACCCAAAAACGATTCTATGCACGAAAGTCATATGCGCAGGCGGAGAGTGCTTTAGAGCTCTATTCAAGTATGAGTTTTTCCGACCTTCGTAAAAGAGTGTGCCTTTCATACTTATAGAAATCCTCAAGAGCAGTTATTTCTGTGTACACGTATTATGGGCACATAACTGTTGTCCACTAAGCCCATTACGTGGGTTAAAATAAAACCTCTCGTAACTGTCTGCCCCACGTGTTTTTTACCTCTTTGATCCATGTTTTATTAACTGCTTTAAGATAACTACTCAAACTACTTTAAGAAATCTCCAGTAACCTTCTTCATTTATTTTCGAGCACTTCTCTGTTCGATTCGACTAATGTTTTTCGACCCATCTCGCAGTGAACAAATAGGGCTACTGATACGATCCTGGTAAGTGTTCGACCTTTATCTCCCTTTCGAGTAGTTTCATAGATATAGCTTTCGAGTAGCTTCCGAATTCTGGGTTTCGAGTAGCTCTAACAAATGGCCCCCTAGGAATTCAGTTTCGATGAACATGCTAGGTGAGAGAAGAACTGAATTCCTATCAAGAGATCTCTTCAATGCTCTTCCAACTACTTGATGTCAATTGATAACCTTTCGATGAAAACCTATTCTGACCTGTACCCTGATTTGCATTTAATGTACATGACTGTTTGATGCGACCTTGATGGCAATAACGGCACGTGATTATGTTTTTTCACTGTTATCAAAATATTCTGGCGGCCGTTTTTATTATTTGATTTGAATTTTAACTTGAGTTACAGGCCCGTTTCATCTCAAGCCCATTAAAACTCTTTTTACCCTAAGGTAGAAACCACATTCACCGCTTTCCTTCTTGGCGCTCAAGTCTTCTTCGCTTCCTTTCTGCTTAGTTTCTTAATCTTCTTCCCCGGCGAACCTTGTGTACCTTCATTCCCCAAGTTCTTTGCTTTTTCGCTTTAATGGCTTCTTCTGCTGCATCCACTTCTGCCGCTGTAGCCTCCACAGTGTCTCCCATCGTTGCTTCTGCTTCAACTCCAACTTTGATCTCTGCTTCATCTCCTGCTGTAGTTTCCACATCATCCCCTACGTTGGCCGTTGCAACATCCCATGCTGTAATGGCGACTGCACCCTCCAGTCAGTCCATTCCTTTGTTGATGAGTAATGCGCAAGTTTGCACTGTCCCTGAGAGCAATGAGACCTTTGTTCCCATTCCTGGCATGGAGGAGGCCAGCCTCAAGATTTATAATTCTCAGGTACTTCTTCCCTTCTCCCTTGAGAATGGTAATATGCATGCTTTTCTAGGACCGTTTATTGGTCAAAATAAGAAGAAATTTGGCAATACTTTGTTACCTGAGGATTCGTCCACTCTACCCTTTATTCATTCACCAGAGATAGATCTTTCTTTGCTTAGAGACACTACCAAGATTTTTAGGGCCTTTCCCCCCGTCAAAAATAGGCATTTGGAATGGTTACTTCGTGTAGAAAATGAAATGAGTTCTTCATGGGTCGAAACTGGTATATTTGAGTTCATTCAGCTTGCAAAATTTGACTTACATCTGTTCGACCCAGAAATGCTCTTGTCTGCGATTTTCTTCTGGAACAGGGAGACGCGAGCCTTCGAGTTTCCCTGTGGGTTCGTTTGCCCTACCTTATTGGATATTGCTGCAATAACTGGTTTAACCCCTTTAGGAGATAGATTCCACCCTGATGTTTTCGAGGAAGAGATTTCGGTCAAAGAACTTTCCATCACATGGGATAAGAAGACGTATCTAGCTTTCATCAATGCCCATGTAGGACAACCCGGGACCCCTGTTTCGACTTCTGAACATATTGCCTTTTTAATGTACTGGTTATCTGCTTGCATTTTTTGTACTCCTTCGCTTCAGGTTCCAAAATACTATTTTACTCTCGCCCAAGCCTTACATTTGAAAAAGAAAGTTTGTTTAAGTAAACTTTTATTGGCCTCCTTGTATACCTGTCTCGATGAAGCTTCTGAAAGCCTTTTCCGAGAGACTGGACCTCGAAATCTTTCTGGACCATTATGGCTACTTCAACTATGGCTCAATGCCATTTTTGAGAAGAAACTATCCCTCACTTCAACCTTCACTCCCACCTGCGAACTTGAGGGTGCACATTTAACCACTTTGACCCCTCAAAAACGTTTAGTTGATAATTTTGCAACATATATTGACGCCATTCTAAGCTTCACTG